CCCCCCCGTAATGAGATTTGTTGCACTATTGATTTCAAGTTAATGTTTAATATTTAATTTAATTTACTGCTAGTAATTTCAATGCCAGCAGAAAACTAATGTTATTTGTATACAGACAATAACATTCTGCTCTTAACATTGACATCAGTCAACATCACCAATTAGGTAAATTATGCAATTAATGCAATGTTGTGAAATGTTATTTTTTTTAAATAAGAAGTTTAAAATAAATCCTACTTAATGGGCTTTTAGTGTCATAAAGCAAAGCACACAATTTCCTGGCAAATACTTCATGTTTATAAAATGCATTTCAGAAATGCAACTGGTTTTTGCTCCTGTAAACATATGCATCAGCATTGAAATGAAGGTTAAATAGTTACATCTGTGAGTGACGTGTTTAAGTGTTTGTGGGACCGTGGCCCATATTTGCACGTAGATTTAGATAGTCTGCAAAGAATTCATAAAGGGCTGACGTAGGGCCTGGTATTGCTGGCAATCAGAATTTTGTTTGTAAAGCCCAAATAGAATTCAGGCACACAAAGGCATGGGCTGAGTGGGAAGTCACATTATCCACAAATTCTGATCATATTTATTAAAAAAACCCTCTATTAAAAATTCTATAGCACTAGTCCAAAGCATCATTTTTCTTGTTATAAAGTATCAGAACGTATGCCCAGAATTGACAGTGCCACCTGAAGTGCTGAAAATAGTGTAGAGGGTTTCTTTTAAAAAAAAGAAAAGCATGTCCCCATGACAGTAGCAGCAGAGCCCATAAAGCACCTCCAGGACACAGGTGAATAACCCCCTGAACTTCAGAGGCCACTAAAGCACCTCTCTCACACGGGTTTTGGCGGTGACTGGCTCCATCACAGCTGCTCTCTGTGCTCTCTGCAGGGCATCCAGATGGTGTGTGAAACTCTGATTGAGTGCTGGGACCACGACCCCGAGGCCCGGCTCACAGCGCAGTGCGTTGCCGAGCGCTTCAGCGAGCTCAAGCACCATGACAAGCTCTCGGGAAGGAGCTGCTCGGAGGAGAAGATCCCTGAAGACGGCTCCGTGACCACCGCCAAGTAGCGTGCATCCGAGAGCTCCAAAACGGAGGGAAGTCACTCCTAGACACGTTCACCTTGGCAAAGGAAGAAGTCTCTATCGGTGCCTTGACTTGCTTCCTGAAGGACTGAGGCTGTCCCTACTCCCTTTAGGCTCCGGCTCCAGACAGGGAGATGTATTCGTGGGAATTAAAAGTCAGGGAGTAGGTGTCATACCCTAGCATTGGCTGCGGGCATCATGTCATGGGAGGAGCTATGTATGTTAGCACTTCCTCAGGAAATGAGATTTGAAAATAGCCAATAACATTATGCACTTTATTAATGCCTGTATATAACTATGAAATTGCTATTTTTATATATATATACATATATATATATATATATATAAAAAATGTGTGTATATGTATATATATATCTATATATCTATAAACAGCCATGCTCTGAAAAAAAGAGGTTAAAAAAAAAAAGTGTTTCCAGGAAATTACCGGTGCATTAAAGATCCCTCCTCCTTAGGGAAGGAGCCTGGGGAGACTGGCATAGCACAACACCAGCAATTGTGCACTTAGTGCTCTGCCAAAAAGGTAAGAATAATATGCAATAAGAAGATGGCTTTCAAAGCATGTGCTGTAACCACCTGGCTGTGGCCCTGCAGTTCGCGGTTGCAGGAGCAGTCTCACAGCAGACAGGCCAGGTTGGCTTTGCAGTTGTACCTACGTGGTCCTGTCTGCAGCACATTTTGGAAAGTTCAGGGATGCCTTTGCTCTCTCACTTTAACCCCAACGTCCTCACATTGTCTGAGAACAGGAATGTGAGGAGGTTTGGTCCCTCCCACATGTGTGTTCTGATACAGAGGTCATTAATGTTATATGTTTATTTCTCAGAATTCATGCTGCTTGCAAGCAGGTTGAAAAATATCAGCAGGATGAGTTTTTACCCTCCTCCCATCCCCACCCCCAAACCATACAAAACAAGATGGGGCCAGCAATAATCCAAGCAGATGTTTTATATTTGCTGTGCATTCTGAGTGCAGGCAGTACTTTTCTTTTTTTCCTGCCTTTTACCTTGATTGTGTTGCTGTAAGAACAAACATTTTTTTTCCCCTGTACAGCATGTCTAATTGCTTGACACACCACAGTCTGACTCTGTTCCATGCTTTCTAGAGAAAAGTAAGAGATAACAGCTGGTGCCTTTATTTTTGCAAAAGGACCATGGAGGTGATGGAAGTATTAGGTAGCATTAGGTTAATGGCATATCCTGCCCTCAGCACTGCTTGCATATAGGGCTGCCCTCAGCAAGTCAGCAATTAACAGAAAAAAAAAAAAAAAAAACCAAACCAAAACCCAAGAAAGACAATTTATTCTGAAAGGACCCTTTAGACATTGCTTACATTCTTTCAGTTCTCCAAACTGTTTAAGACAGTTGACATCACATTGGGCCTATATAAATGACAGCAATGCATTTAATAAGTGCTAACAATTTTGTCTTTGGGAGTTTTGTGGTTATTTTTCCACTTTTTTCTTCCCCATGGCATGTAAGCAGGCTTTGGAAATTAGAAATTCAGTCAGCACAAACCAGTCCTATACAGATGTATCTGGTGCAATTTATTAAACACCTTTGACAGATAAACATCGATATTTCTCTAGAAGACGTATAAGTCAATAGGAATCATGCTTATTCAAATAAGAGTTAAGATTTATGATGACAAATATTTTATTTGAAATGGGTTTGTATCTGCTTTTTTTTTTTTTTTTTCATTTTAACTAAACTACTCAAAAATATTTAAACAGAGCGGGGCAAAACCTCAACAGCTACAGTGGAATTCAGAGGATATTATGTCAAATTTTATAAGGGGGTGAGGGGTGTTTTTTGTAAGAAAAGGAAAGAGGGTGTGGGACCGCTGCCCTCTAGCGACGTGCCTGCCGCTGCCCGAAGCAGGAGGTGGGGAGAGGGAATGTTGAGGCCCGTTTCTCTTCCTCTATCCATGCTGAAGGTCAAGGAATAGTGCCCGGTAGTTCCTGACAATACTGACATTTTTATGGTGGGGTTTGGTTGGGTTTTTTTTTACTACTACATGTAAAGGAAAATTTTTATTCTTTTAAGGAATATTTCACCGTACATCGTGTATGAAATAGGAATGTGAACGATATATACTCTTGTATATCAAATGTTTCAAGCACTTAACTTGCTTTGTAAACAGTTTGGGGGTTTTTTGGTCTGTCTTATTTTGTATAAATCAAATGTTTATTGGAGTAAATAAAATAACACTGACTGAAGTTTGTCTTTCATCTCTGGAGCATCCAGAATTGGGAGAGGGCTCTTCCTAAAATGAACCCTCTTCTAAACTGCTTCAGTGTTTCCTTTCCACCTGAATGTCACGCTCAGTGTGTCCAATGGCTTTTGCATGTGTCCTGCTTTGCTAATGTCTCCTTCCCGCCGTCTCCATCCTGCCCTTCAGCAGAACAGCACTAGCAGATACCCAAACCTGCTGGTCCCTTGGCCCCTGCACTCCACTAGCCTCAGGGGAGGGGAGGAAGAAGCAGGTTCACAGCTGACTCTCCTACTTTTAGGTTGCTCACTTCTCAGTGCAGATAAGGCCTTAGTTAAACCTCAGTTGTTTGGTACTGGTATTAAAGCAAGCCAGAAGACAGCCCACTAAATCTGTGTCACTGAAAAGTGTATGATTAATGTGCTTGTGCCTTACAGCTACTGCTCTCCACTCAGAGCTTTCACCTTTTTAAGCTGATACCTCTCCCAAGAAAGACATGCAGAACACAAGCACCACATAAACTAAGAGCAAGATACCTCCATCTCCCCCTCAAATTGCCTCAAGTGTGGCTTTACACAGGATACAGTCCACCAGTGCCTGAAGTAGGCATCAGAGACTCTCCAGGCATCACTCTTTTTTTCAGGGATTGTATTTTGGTGCTGAAACCTCCATCAGAGCTCATGCTTGGCTTGACTGACTATCTCCTTTTGAACTTCAAGTGGGGATTCCCCAAACAGGCACCCAGGTGTCTTTGTTCATGAATCCAGCAGAACTGCAGAATAACTGAGGCTGGCAGGGACCTCCGAGCCAGGCACTGTGCTTGCTGGTCATCTGGTCCAGGCTCCTGTTCAAAACAGGCAGCTCAGATCAGGTTGCCCAAGACCTTGTTTAATTTTGAATGTCTTCAATGCTAATGGTTTCACGGCCTCTCTGGACACCTGGTGCTCCTAACAGAGTAACACACATAGCCGATGTCAGGTGCAGTGCAAAGCACAGTGGCCACATCCAGTCTAAAACTGGCAGAAGGGGAACTCTGTGAAGAACGTCCCCTCAGGCCTAGGTGTCCTCTTCAGCAGACGAGTGCAGGTGACCGGCTGTTCCTTCAAGCCAGCTACCCTCTGCCCCATACTGTCAGACTATAAATCAAGCTGCACAGTGAGGGTGCTCTGCAGCCAGCTGAAACCAGCCTGCCTGGGGACACCATGGAGGGGCCTGCAGAGACCCTTGCTGCAGGGCTGCTGACGAGGGTGCAGTCAGGACAGACACCCCTGCAGCGCAAGGCACCACCCTTGCACGGTGCCTGCAAGCACTATCCTGGCTGTAGCTGGTCTAGCATTGAGGGATGGTGGGATGCTCAACAGCCTGCCCCTCCCCAGCAAGCATTAACTTGCAACCCTCCGTCTCTTGTGTTCCTTCTGTAAAGGCCAGGTACAAATCAGCTCTCAGCTTCCCTACAGGCATGCAAAGCCTCACTGCCCACACCTCTGCGCTTTCCAGCAGTGTCCTGCCGAGCCCTAGGCAAGCCTAGCATCACTGTAGTTGGCCCCAGCATTTGCTGGTGCAGGGGTGGCAGTGGCTACCCCTCACCAGTCCCCACCGATGACCGTGTATTGGCAAATATCTTCAAGCCCTGACATCCTGTTTACACTGATTCAGTCTAAAAATCCTTTTGGCATAACAAGGCAAGCAAGTGTTGCAAAATCAAATACAAAATGTATTAAGGAAACATAGCAGGCAAACTCCACAGACCTTTCAGACTTGAAGTAAACAGTATCCTTGAAATAAAGTACACTATATCCTTTCAATATTTTTTTTTTTCCAATTATGGCTTTTGCCCACCTTCGTTATTCTAACTATAGTTTGCAACACCCTTCTTAAGCAGCTCTTAATTAGCATGTCAATCAGCATTTTATCACCAGGGTACAAGGCAAGGAGGCTCCAGCTGTGCCGATGCAGAAGGCAGTCCTTGGGTTTACTACTGAACCGTGCCATGGTCTAAACTGGATGGCAGTTTCCCAGCACAGCCTGCCTCTGTGTTACCAGTTCACACAATTCCCAGCACAACGGGGATTTCATCCCCTTCTAGGATATTCCCAACTGCTACTGGAATAGAGATGAACGACAAAAGAATAAAAAAACATGACCCAGCTCCTGAGGGGGAAAAAAAGAAAGGCATTAAGACATCATCATTCTGAATGCTCCTGGAAACAAACTGGGCCACATGTAGAGCACCTGCAATATTGTCCTCTTGTCAAGCCAGCTGTGCTCAGACCCAAGGGCTTCCTTTGCTTCCAGAGGACCATTGATTAATTTATTTCCTGATCCTTAGCTCTTTCTCTCTCTCCTGCTTGCTTTTTGATTTTTCTTTTTTTTTTCTTTTTTTTTTTTTTTGGCATTATGTTTTTAATAAAACGCTGCCTATGGCAATTTTTCCCTCCGGCCACAAAGAAGATGGAGTGAATTCTGTTCCAGACTGTCTGCTTATTGTTTCTGGACGCAGTCTGGCTGCATTTATGCTGCATATTACTTGGCAAATGTTCGTACAAGTGGGTGCACACCATATGCATGTTCAGAAGGCTCTTGCTGGGAGGGGGGGTGGGGTGGTAGTGCCAAAAATTCCGGTGTCTGCCTGGGTAGGTACAAGTGACACACCTCACTGAAAGATTTTGGTGGGGTAATTTTAGGCATCTGTGTCATAACATTTCATAGCATGACCCACGAGACCCAGTTGGCCTGAGCCCATGGTGGCCCGACCTGGCTGTTCAGACCCCATTTCCCCACAGTGGTTTGACCTTTTGGTAGATCTCACCTATTTTTGGCCTCCAGCAGCTGAAAGGCCTTGCTCATAAGCAGGTAGTTGAGGACAGTCAGTGGTTTGTTGAAATTCAGCCAAATTGGGAGGCTCCTGGGAGGACCAAGCCCAGGAAATAAATTTAAAACTCTTAACTAATGAATGCTTTGAGGACCTTCTAACCACATCATGAAGAGGCAAAGGCAAAAAGCAGCTCATTGATTATCTGCTGTGAGTGATTTTCTCAGTTATAGTGGTGATAAACCAATCTTTTTGGACAGTTGTGTTTTTGTAGCTAAATTCTTAAAAAATAAAGTATCCACCTGATTAAGTCAGCATAATTAACCTCCCGCTGCTGAAATTTCTGTTTCGCAAACGTGCTGCCATGTGAATGCAGGTAAAGCAAAGATCCTTGGCATTTCTTCCCGGGTTAGCTGTCGTGTGTGTCAGAGGAGGGATCACTCACAGCTGAAAACACTCCCCCTCTTCCTCCTCCACTGCAGGAAAGCTTTCCTGTTGAAGAAACAAAAAGCAATTCACCCTGCCCTCTTATATTTCACCCATCCATGGCTTCAAGCCCAGGCTGCTGCCCTCCCCTCCCTGCTGCTCCTCTCCTCCTCCCACACACCTTTGGATGCCTGAACGGGGGCTGTGCAGTGCCTTCCCTCCTGCCACTGGTTTTGGATCAGGGCATTGGTCTTTCTCTCATGAAAGCAACTCATGGTATTTGTGTTTCAGAACAAGACCTGCATCAAATATCAGGGTTTAAGCATTGAGCTCAACCCTGTGTGGCTTCCTGAAAGGCACCTCACCATCGTTCTGCTTAGGCTGGAGCATCCCTCTCTCCCTCTGCCTCCTCCTCTCCCCAGTAGGGACTTCCTGATCACCAGGGTTTGTCCTCCTCTGGAAACAGTGCCTGAGTAAACCCATTGCATGCACCCGTTGCATACACCACCACTTCGCTTATGTAGGGCTGGAGCAATGGAGAGGAAGCAAAGACCAAAGGAAATTCACATCATGTTTCTACCCAATGTGCAATGGAGATGGCAAGCAGGTCTCCAGCCAGGCTTGCTGACTTTCTGCTCCAGCATGAGTGGTTGAGTGAGACTCCCCAGACCAGGGCTGTCTCTTTAGTTTTCCGAAGGAGAGGATGACCACATCGTCACCTCCTGGCACCCCAGAGTGACGCTTTCACTGTTTTTTGCAGAGTGCCTCAGCCACCAGCTGGCTGTGGAGGGGGTTTAGGGGAGTGCTTTCTTTAGGATGAGCTAAACCGATGTGACATGCAGGACATGTTATCAGAGCTATATGGTGGGCTACAGAAGCAGAGCTCCTCATCACCCCTCACAGCCCCAAAAAAGCCCAAATCTGGCACTTTCTCTCTTTCACAAAGACCTCCAGAAATAGACATCTTCTGTTAGAAATATGCCAGGGTCTTCACGTCAACCTTGCTGGAGACCATTTAAGGTTAGAAAATGTTTTACAGAAGATAATGATTGCATCTAATTCCTGCCTTCGCTTGAAGGTGAAAACTGTCTTTCTAGTTCTCGCACAGAAGACAGTATAAACTTCTTCCAAGATAAACATCTCTCTGTCTCTGGCTGCAAATGTTTAGCTCTTAAAGGCTGGTTTTATCTACTGGCTTCCTTATACATGTATGTGAATGCTGAGAGGATCGCTGCACTCATCTAGCAAGACTGTCTATGCTATGACTACCCAGAAAAATAAGATTATAAAAACATTGATATTAAAATGGGAATACATCATTTGACAACATACAAAAAATGCTTCCACAGACTCAGACATGCCAAGGGTTGTTGCTTCAGAGGTTGAGATGAAAATGCAAGGCCTACTCTGGGGTCTTTTAGTGCATCATTGCAATGATTGTTTGAAAAACATTTAAAGTAAAACACTGGTTTTTGAAAGAGCAAAGCCTTTTATACAGGGTATATGAATGCCTGGAATGACAAAAACGTGTTCCAACTTTGATCCAACAAAACCGAACTAAAAACTGTCAGAGAAAGGATCCAGTAAAAAAAAAAAAAACACAGAGCCCATATCCTCACACCACCAAGAAAAAACAGCTACACAGTGCTGCCACCAAGGAGAATTACAACTTTCGGCAAATGGGTTAACAGACAGCATATTCAGGAGCAGGCCATTCATAAGAAGAGCAGCATTTACGAAATGAAAGATGATGATTACTACTGATACTT